CGCGTTTGTTCCATATTTGAAGTTTCATTTTTGTATGTGTGAGGCGCCAGCTGTTTTTGTCTCTAGGCAGTGTTAATTCTTCCACTCAGTACACGCCAGCCAGGCAGACAGACAGCCAGCCAACCACACAGACAGCCAGACAGACAGACAGCCACACAGACAGACAGCCAACCACACAGACAGCCAGACAGACAGCCTTACAGTCATCTGCTTTTAAGTAGTTTTGAGACTGTATACTCTCTCTGTTTCTATCTCTGTCTCTATTTCTCTCACTATCTCAATCTCCATCTCTCACTCTCTCTCTTTATCTCTGTCTTTCACTCTCTCTCTATATCTCTCAATCACTCTATTTATCTCTCTCTCACTCACTTTCTCCCTCTTTTAATCTCTCACTTTCACTCTATTTCTCTATCAGTGTGTGTGTTTGAAAGAGAGAGAGAGAGAGAGAGAGAGAGAGAGAGAGAGAGAGAGAGAGTGAGAGAGAGAGTGAGAGAGAGAGGGGGGGAAGTAACCTAACCACAGCAAGCCACTATATAATAAATTCACAAACAACCACAACTTTCTCTACTACAGGATTCGAACCCACGATCTCGACATTTTACTGTATACCTCACAACTCACCCACCCCCCCCAACCCAGCCCAGCCCACTACCCACCCAGCCCACTCCTACAACCCACTACTCAGTATCCCTTGTTTTGGTAATCTGTGGTTCGTGGAAACATTCTTAACATTGTCTGACATCATGTTCGTGGTATCAGGTGTTGTCATTTTTCAAGGCTTGGTTAGGGTAGGGTAGGTTAGGTTAGATTAGGGTAGGTTAGGTTAGATTAGGGTAGGTTAGGTTATGTTAGGTTAGCTTAGATTTGGTTAGGTTAAGTTAGGTTAGGTTAGGTTTAGTTTTAGCCTGGCGTAACATCGACAAGGAACAGGAGAAACCCAAACGTTGTTGACTGCTTTTGCCAACCTTAAATTACACTGTTAACTGGACCCTAATCCCTAATCCCTCATCCCTAATTCCTCACCCCTCATCCCTAATCCCTAATCCCTAATCCCTCATCCCTAATCCCTCATCCCTAATCCCCAGCATAATCACAAAATTTCCCTTCATCCCTTAAACAAGATTGGATAACGTCACAACAACACAATCTTTAAGACCTTTGTTTACCTACACCTTAATCATCCCTCACAGGTAGTAAACATGACCAGGTAGATCACAATTTGCAACAGATGGATCCTTTAGGGTGTTGTAAACTTGACGAGAGGATTGCAAGGGGTGGGATATACCTTTGCAACAACTGGATTGAAAAGGAGATTGAAGGAAGAATATTTGACGAGGAATTTAATGTTGTTTTGAAGAGGTGATTATTGTTGCAAAGGATGATTATGCATTGCAATATGAAATACCTTATGATAGTATTGCAACAAGTTAATTATCATCAATGTTGCAAAGGGCGAATATGTATTGAAATTGAAATACTTTATGGATAATAGTATTGCAACAGGCTAATTAAAGAAGTGATCAATATTACAAAGTCTAAATGTATATTGCAACTAAAATACCTTAAGAAGAATATTTTGCAACAAGCTATCTGAAGAAAAGATCAATGTTGCAAAAGAGTAAATATTTATAGCAATTGCAATCTTGTCTTCTGGTTAATAAAAATCTTGCAACAGACATCTTCATCAAATCCAAAATTAACTTCCACACTACACACTCAAGCACTTGGGATGGAGGAATTCAAGGGTTTATTTATCCATGAGAAATGTTGCAAGAAGCGAGAGTTAGTTGATGTTGCAAAGTTGAGTGATTGTCTTCGAGGTGAGTATTGCAACTGGCACAAATATTGCAGATGTCATGAACTGATTCACATATCATACGTCTGAATGCTTTTGGGGATCTGTCCAATAGCTGACTGGGTGTGTGAATGGGTGGGTGGGTGGGTGGGTGGGTGGGTGGATGGGTGGGTGGGTGTGGGTGTATAGATGGGTATGTGGGTCTAGGGATGGATTTGGATGTATAGATGAGTGTATAAATGGGTGTGTGCGTATGGATGGGTGTATGGGTGGGTGGAGGTGTGTGGGTGTATGGATGAATGTGGGTGTATGGATCGTTATAAGGGTGGGTGTGGGTGTATGGGTGTGTGTATATAGGCTAATATAAGATAATTCAAGAGTTGTAGCACACACAACCTTGCAATTTCAAGGCGTTTGGGAATATGTCCAACAGCTGACTGGATGTGTGGGTGGTAGGGTGGGTTGGGTGGGTGGGGTGGGTGGTGGGAGGCATAGACGAAGATCTGCCAAGAACAACACTTATTGTTCAATGGGTATCAGGAAGCTTCCTTTCCTCACCTTCCTCCCCCCTCCCTAGCCCCTTTACCTTCCTACCCTCCCCCACCCTCGTCCTTCCCCCCCCCTCAAGGTCAAGTTCGAAAAAAATCACTTTGTATGTTTGTTTGTTTGGTGTTCGTGGCAGTGGTGTAACATTGTCCTTCTCCCTCAGTAGGTACAGTTTAAAGGGGTCCCAGTGCTGACAGACCCTGGCTATATTAGTATCGTCTATATTTATGTCTTAGATCCATTAATGAAGATGATGATTATAGGTAAATTTGCCCCCTTGCGCCTTCGTCTGTCTCTGTGTGTCCGTCTCTGTACATTTTTTCTGTCTGTCTGTTTCTCCGTCCCTTCATTTGTCTGTCCGTCCGTCCTCCCGTCCGTCTGTACTTCCTTTCATCTGTCTTTGTCCATCCATCCATCCGTCTCTCTGTCCGTCCGTCCGTCCGTCCATCCGTCCGTCCGTCGGTAAAATGACTCCATATTTTTTTCTCCTTTATTCATTTTATTAATTTTTTCTTAACAATTTATTAAAATTTTTGGGGGTAATGAAAAGTTTATTGATAAAAGAATTTATTAGAAATTGTGATAACTAGAGAGAGAGAGAGAGAGAGAGAAGGAAATTCCATTGGCTATATTTAGCTGACGAAAAGCAACACTGATAGATAGGTAGATAGATAGATGAACAGATAGACAGATAGATAGATGGATAGACATGTTATCCATTATTCTAAGCATCATCCTCTTGCTAATTCTCTTCGTCACTGATAGACGTTTGCAGAAGTAGTAGTAGTAGTAGTAGTAGTTAGTAGTAGTAGTAGTAGTTAGTAGTAGTAGTGGTAGTTAGTAGTAGTAGGCCTAGTAGTTAGTTGTAATAAAGAAGCAGTCACCCTTTTCTGATAGTACTGTAGTAGTAGTCAGAACACGACCACCAAACTCGTGTAGAAGTGTTCAGTAGTAGTAGTAGAAGGAGTAGTAATAGAAGTAATAGTTGGTAGTAATAAAGATGCAGTCACCATCCTCTGATAGTAGTAGTAGAAGAAGTAGTAGTAGTAGTAGTAGTAGTAGTAGTAGTAGTAGTAGTAGTAGTAGCATTAGCAGCAGTAGTCAGAATGCGACCACCAAGTTCTCGTAGAAGTGTTCAGTAGTTGTAGTAGTAGTGGTAGTAGCGAGGATACAACCACCTGTCTTGCCAGTACCGCCTGTGGGAGATGAATGTGCTAATTAATTACTGCTCTTTCTGTATGTCTGTCTGTGTGGCCGTCTGTCTGTCTCTCTGTCTGTTTGGTTATTTTCTGTCTAAAACATCACAACTACAAATACCACAACAACAACAACAATTTCTTTTATTGGCCTCCAGCCTCCCCCAATAGCCATACCTTCGCCGCCATTTTATTACCTTAATATTAAATATCCTAATACATAAGTAGCTATCCTATCTGTGTTGAGTTAGTGTAGCCTCATAGTCAATATCTGCAACTGTTGTCGGCCTTGGGGCCGATGCTCTCGTTCCCCTGAGGCAGAGCAAAGCCGACCTAAGGAGAGAGAAGGACAGTCGACATCTCATCCAGGCTGTAACATAACTTCTGGGCTGCTGCATCTGTTCGGAGATCACCTCCCCGAGTCTGGCGTAGAAGCATCTTGCACTTGGTCCCATCCCACCAGAGGTTGTGAACACTAGAGGAGTGAAGCTGCCTTGAACAACGTTCTGAATTCTCTCCCCATATGCCCTTATCTTGTCGTTCTCGTTCCTCCTGTGTGCAGCATCGAGAGCTAAGTTACGGTGACATACGGCCATGGGATCAAAAATCCTGATGTCGAAGAAGGCTCGCTGTCCCCGCGTCCAGAATACACAACAACAACAACAACTACTACTACTACTACTACTACTACTACTACTACTACTATCAATTAGTACAATTAACTTTATTACTACTGCAACTAGTATTGTTACAAAACTTATGTACACCTACCATTATTCCTACCAGTAACTACCACCATTATTACCACCACCAATACTACCACAACTACTACTAGTGTTATAATTTTACCTGTTAAATCCTACTACCACACCTGTTATTTCACACCTGTATTTCACACCTGTTATTACTACCTGTAAATTCCGGCTGCAATGGGTTTACAATTACCAGACAAAACACCAATTTACTTTACAAAGAACACAGGTATACTTACTCACCAGGTAGAGAGACATTATATAATTGTTCTCCTGTGTTGAGGTAGAATGTTGGAACTAAATGTTTAGGTAGAATTCTCACTCTTTCTCAGTTGCCAATTATCGTTTTTTCAGGTAATTTTAATAATCATGTTTAATTCTGGGGATTTTCTATTTTATAATATGTTTTCAGTCTAGTTTATATAGTCAGGTAGATATGACAGGTAGATTTCACAGGTGTTGAACTCATTAACAGGTTATGGTTGATTCAGGTGAGTCAAAAGACAGGTGGAAAAAATTGTTGTTGATTTTATTACAAGCATTAATAAATAAAATTCCTTAAGAGGCGCTGAGCTGCTATTATGTATCTTGGTGAGGCAGACGATGGGGGTAGGTTAACTTGGTGAGGTAAAGTCTCTTATTCTTCCCTCCCTTTCTCCTTCAACCCCCCTTTTCTCCTTCCCCCCCCGTTCTCTCACCCCCCTCGTGTTAGTTGTTGAGATGGTGGTTTGTTTAGGCTAAGTTGTATTTCCATCCTGTGTTTTTTTTCATTTGTTGTTTTTGTTGTTTTTGTTGTTCTTCATCTTCTTATTGTTATTCTCTCTCTTCCTCCTTTTCTTCTACTTATTTTTGTTGTTGTTGTTGTTCTTGTTCTTCTTCATCGTCTTGAATAACATTGCGACGTTTAATGCGATACAATATTTTCCAATTTGTACACTTGTTAATTACAATGGTGCGTAGGTAGACGATAGACCTTTCCAATGGTACTCTTATACTTCTCTCACCATCAAGGGGGAGGTGGGGAAGCATTGGGGGTGTTGGAGGCGTTGGAGGGAGGGAGGGAGAGACGAGAACAAACAGAACCTCACTTGCAGAATATTGCCTTAATATTAAAGTGTCAGACGTGAATAATCATATATCTCGTCGTATCGTCAAACGTTTTGAGTTGCGAAGCGGAGAAAGCGACTGGTAGTATATAAACCTTTTAGATCCCGCGGCGGCTAAATTAACATGGTGAGGAGAAGAGAAGATGAGGAAGAGGATAGGAGAAGGAGAGAAGAGGAGAGAAGGAGGAGATCAAGACATAAGAGGGGTCAATAGGCTCCTGTACAATTACAAGAGAACCATTGTTGAAAAGGATACCACGAACGCGATCTTTCTTCCTCACCTCCTTGTAAACAACTAATCAGACACGACGCCAACATTACCTAAACTTAAACCTAACCTAACCACAAAGCTCATGAAGTAGTGTGAATTAGGTTGGATAGCCCTGTTCGTGGTACTATTAGCAACATTGGACAGCTTCCGTGGTGGCGTTTCGAAAGGTGATATTTGGGGACCTAGAGTAATCCCTCTTGATCCATAATTTGACCTGACCTGACCTGACCTGACCTGACCTGACCGCTTGGGGTGGCAACGACGCTCTCAGCAGCAAGAATAATATTAGTAAGCGGTGTGGGAGGCGCTGATGAAGTGGGCCCCAGTTTTAATAGGCCTTCCTCGAGGACCAGCTATATCCGGCCTCGAGAACCAACTATAACCGTCCTCGAGAACCACCCATATCTGGCCTCGAGAACCAACAATAACCGGCCTCTGTTACCAACTATATCCGGTCTCAAGCACCATCTATATCCGACCTCAAGCACCAACTATATCCGGCCTCGAGAACCACCCATTTCCGGCCTCGAGAACAATATATATCCGGCCTCTATCGCCAACCATATCCGGCTTCGAGGACCAGCTATAACCACCGCCTCCAGACACGCACACACACAAACACACACACACACACACATCAGCCGATTCATCAAACACTATCCAGTCCGAGGAGCTGTACACACACTGTTACAGACATAGACGGTACAGGGTGAGGGAAAAAAAGAATACACGGATTAATACTACAGGGTGATTCACAAGTTGGTGTAGATTTGGATGTTTGGTTGATATTACTATGTGTGTGTAAGAGGAGAGAGAAACAGAAACACTTGAGAAGAGAGAAAGAGAGAAAGACACATTTGAGAAGAGAGAGAGAGAGAGAGAGAACACCAGACAATAACAACAACTACCTAACCTAACACCATCATCTAATGAACCACCCTGTACAACCATTTCTATACAACCTGTCAATTATTTATATTTTTCCACCACCCTGTACCTGACTTAATGTTAAAATAAACATTGAAGACAATATTACCAGAATAAGTTATATATATATACACTATTTACATTAGTATTTTGAGGGATAATTTAACGTAATGTTTATTCCCGAAGACAAGATGTTTATACTACACGCGGGTTCGAACCTCTATGTACGTATTATAGTATGTGTAGGTTAAGTTACATATACACACATGTGGGTATTTTGAGATCATTTGGTTATTGTTATAATTTGTTTGTTTTTTCTTTGCTCATGTAATTAGTTTAAGTTAGGTTTATTTTGTTCTTGTTTATTGTTATAGATAGTTAATGTCTACATACATACATGCATACATACATACATGCATACATACATAAACAAGACTACAAACCCGTGTAAGTAACCACAACCTTACTTATTTGTTTACAAGTTATGTGACGTAACAAAGAGACGAGTGTGTTAGTAAGATTAATGTGACGCCGTAACTGAGTGCCTCCTGTCACACAAGACTCGAGGCCTTTGGGACATGAGGCCCTTGGGACACTGTGTTGCATTGTGGGTCTTCCTGTGGTGGACTTAGTGTTGATAAGATCCTAACCACGTTGATCTGACCTGACCTGACCTGACCCAATCTAATCTCTTGTGTCCTGACCAAATCTGATCCAACCCAATTTAACCCGACCTGAGCTGATCAAACTTGATCCCACAGGTTTAGCTCGTGAGTAGGGATTGGGCTCTGATCAAAATGGTCTATTAGGTCTGGGGGTCTATGAGGACTGGGCCCCACTTAACTAATCACAGGTAGTCCCAGGTGTTCATCAGTCTTTGGGTCACTCATCATCGTCTCTCCATTACCTCACAGTATTAACAGGTCGACGGGAAAGTGTGTGTGTGTGTGTGTGTGTGTGCTGATCATTAGCTTCGTCAAGTTGAGTGTTTCTTAGACCGGGAGGAGATCACTTAAGTAAACAGTGTGTAGTGTAGAGTGTGTTTAGTTGAGGACCCGGATGGATGGGGTGAGGTTGGTGGTGTGGAGGGTGCGGGCAGTGGCCGGGTACCTGGCGAAGGGAGAGAAGTACTTCTCAGTGTAGGGGTATGGCGGGGTGTAGGAGGAGCCCATGAGGTAGGCCCTATCGGGGTACACCCTGTAGGTCCTGTAGATAGAGGCGGGAGCCACCGTGGTGCTCGGGGCGGAGAACGGGCTCGCTGCTCTGTTGTACTTGTAAGTGTCGTAGTATCTGCCGAGGTTGTTGATGTACTCGTAGGTGGGCTGAGAGTAGTACCTGTCGTAGTAGTACGACTTTGGGTATCTCATGGACACGTAAGGGTCGTAGGGCTTGGCCAGCGAGCTGACGTAAGGGGCGGTGGGCAGAGGGCTGGTGGAAGACCTCGTGTACCTCCTGTAGGTGTCGAACACCTTGGGGTTCTCTAGCAGATCATCGTCATCATACAAGAAGGAGAGGCTCCCTCTCCTGGCAGGTGACATGGCCCTTGAGGGCGAAACAGCCCTGCCAGGTGACATACCCCTCGAGCTCCTGGTGGAGGAGTCAACGAGAGGATTATCCTGGAAGTTTTTGCGGGGAGGTTCATATCTGTCCAGGGAGGAGGCCCTGCTGGGCTTCACGTAGTTCTTGGTGCTGGTGTAAGTGTCGAACACCTTGCTGGGGACGAGGGTGAACCTGGGGTAGGCGGCGGGGTTACGGAAGGGGGAGGACTCTCTCTCCAGCTCCAAGATGGGGGAGACGGGGCGGTCCTCAGGATTGTCGGGAAGGTCTCCACTGCGGCGAAGTTCATAGTCGAAGTCACACAGCTGACTCAAGAAGCCTTGGTTGGGGAAGACGTTCCTCTTCTTCCTGTCGAGACAACATGTTGGCTCATGTTAGTATTGTTGTTGTTATTGTTGGCTGGCGTTCATGTTGTTGTTAGTAATGGCGAGCGTTAGTGTTGTAGAATGACTATATCTTATTTACAGAATGACTTAGAATGACTAAATATCACATATAAAATGACTTAGAATGACTTAGCAATGTTAGAATGCGGTAGCAATGGTAGAATGACTTACTTAATAGTAGCAAGAGCCGTCTGGACATTCATGTTTCGTTTAAGCATCAGGAAACCCACGACCAGAGCAGCTGAACGAGAGATGCCGCACTGACAGTGAACCAACACTCGACCTGCGAACCAGAGATAGGACCATTATATTCTGTCTGTCCTTGTCTCTTTGTCTTTCTTTCTGTCTGTCTGTCTGTCTCTCTGTTAACAGGATAGTCTCCCTTTGACATTGAGATACTGACCCAAAACAGAGATAATCAACAGGTGAAATTACCTATCTGAAAGCAACCCAAACCCAAAGAAAAACACCCATTAAAACACCCATTAAAACACCCATTAAAATAACCCATTAAAACACCCATTAAAACACCCATTAAAACACCCATTAAAACACCCATTAAAACACCATTAAAGCACCATACTAACCTCCTTGCTTCAGAGCCCCATTGATAAAGTCAGCAGCATCTCGTAGGTAAGGTTTGATATAGAAGCCAGGCATATCCAGTGCAGGTATCCCGTAGTACTTGAGTCCCTTGAGCTTGGCGTAGTAACTAGGGGAGGTGCTGACGTAGCCATCATAAGCGGTGTTGTTATGCCCTTGTGCAGCGTTTAGGATATGGGTAATGCCAAGGTCCTTAATTTCTTGGGTGGACAAGGCCGTGTCTCTGTGTGTATGGGGAGAGAAGAAGAGAGGGTGAGGTGATTTTTTTTTCTGTTTTTTTCCTGTTTATGTTTCTCTCTATCTCTCTCTTTCTCTCTCTTACTTACTTATCCACTCTCTCTCACTCTCTCTCTCTCTCTCTCTCTCTCTCTCTCTCTCTCTCTCTCACACACACACACACACACACAAACAAAGAAGGAACTCACGAATCGCCCAGTAGTACACCGGGGAAGACCTCATCGTAAGAGTTGACAGGTCTATACCATCGTCCTCCTGAAGGTTCCAGAAGGAGTGACTTAAGCTCTCTGGTATTACACCGCTGGATCCTACGACGACCCATCTTACTCCTGAAGGCAGACGGACGGACGGACGGACGGAAGGAGATTTAACAGGAGGAGAAGCTGGTGTGAAGTGCCGACCTAAGGTGGAGTTTTAGCTTGGCCACTTTCCTCTGTTGGAGAGAGAGAGAGAGATATTGGTTAGGTTTGGTTGGGTTATGTTAAGTTTGGTTAGGTTTGGTTAAGTTAATTTAAGTCAGGTTGGTTGGTCACTTTACGCTTTTGGAGAGAGAGAGAAAGTGAGAGAGTGACTCATTACACACACACACACACATCGTTTACAATACTATACATACACAGCATTGGTAGAGGATGACTGTGTGTGTGTGTGTGTGTGTGTGTGTGTGGGTGATTCTCCCTCGTGTGTGTCAAGTGACATTCTTGGCCTGTAGTGTGGCGTGTGTGGCAGGTGGGATGTTATGTGTGTGTGTGTGTGTCCAGCTGTTTATAATTCATTCTCTCTCTCTCTACTTAACCTAACCTAACCTAACACACACACACACACACACACACACACACTGGCTCTCTGGGTCTCCGCCAATTGTAGCGACACATGTTTCGTAGCGTCAGCTGATAACACTCTTATTGCCATGACGGTGTGTGTGTGTGTGTGTGTGTGTGTGTGTGTGTGTGTGTGTGTGTGTTACTCTGTGGGATATTTCACTTATATTAACTATACCACAGAAGATGTTTATAATGTCTATAGATAAGCAAAAATAATGAAAAATCCGTAAATACCTCAAAATTTACATAAAATTTGTAAATACCTAAAAATTTACAAAAAAATCCGTAAATACCTGAAAATTTACATACAAATCTGTAAATACCACAAAGATAAATCACAAGAGTGTACCTTTGTTAGTGATGTGTCAACGATGTGTGAGACTAGAGCCAGGTGAGGTGTGGGAAGTGTCATATGCCATAGGTGTCACGGGTGTGGGGGGGGGGCAAGGTGTCATGCTGGTGATGTCTGTCTGTCAGTCAGTCAGGTGTGGGGCGGATATAGTACCTATATCCACCTGGCTCCTGTCAGTGGCCCTGATGTGTCTGTATGTATGTATGTCTGTATGTATGTATGTATGTATGTATATCTGGGTGTATGGATGTATGTTTGTATTTATGTATGAATATATGTATGTATGTTTGTATTTATGTATGTATGTATGTATGTATGTATGTATATATGTATATCTGGGTGTATGGACATATGTATGAATGTATGTATGTATGTATGTATGTATGTATACACTTGGTTGGGTGTAATCTAATTTGGGGTGAGATGCAAGACAGTTGGGTATCCAAGTATAGACACAAAACTAACTATATTGGCGAGTGTCAAGGGTGTGTGGGGGGGAGTGGGTAGGTCATGTGTTAAAATGGTGGTGGGTCAGTTGTAGCGTCATCACGAGAGGTCACGCAAGGTTCATTACCTCTCCCCTCCCACCCCCCTTCTCTCTCTCTCTCTCTCTCTCTCTCTCTCTCTCTCTCTCTCTCTCTCTCTCTCTCTCTCTCTCTCTCTCTCTCTCCTTGACCCTTCTTTAATTCCTGCCTCTGTCCAACACATATATGCACACACACACACACACACACACACACACACACATACACCACACACCAATTAAAGTATTCCTCGCCCCAAGAATTAGAGGGGAAAGTTTATTATCTATATGTCCGTCCTTGGTAAAAACTAAGTACAATTCACGTACAATTGGTTTTACCACAACATATTTCACCGGTGTTTCTCTCTCTCTCTCTCTCTCTCTCTCTCTCTCTCTCTCTCTCTCTCTCTCTCCTTGTTAACCTTCCTTCCTTCCTTCCTTCCATCCCCCTATCTCCTCCTTGCAACTCCCTCACATTTCTCTTTGTTTCCCTCTCAATCTCCCTCCATCACATATTCTTAATTCTCCCCTCCTCCCCTCCTTCCCTACCTCCTTCCCTCCTTCCTTCCTCCTTCCTCCTTCTCTCCTCCTCCCTCCTTCCCTTCCTTCCTCCTTCCCCTCCTCCTTCCCTCCCTCCTCCTCCTTCCTCCTCCCCTTCCCTCCTTCCTTCCCTCCTCCTCCTTCTCTCCTCTTCCTTCTTCCTCCTACCTCCTTCCCCTCCTCCCTCACCCCTCCTTAGACGTTCGTGAGCACCTCGAGACTATGCCAGCAGATACAGCGGAATTATATAAATTTTTAGTGAGGGTTTAATTTTTGTGGGGGTGGGTGGGTGGGGGAGGAGTGGGGAAGGTTATTCTCATTACCACCATTACCACCATCATCACCACCATTGCCAGCACCACTATTACCACCACTATTATCACTCCAATAATTACCACTACCATTACTACCATCACTGCCATCACCACTATTACCACCACCATCATCATCATCAGTACTACCATTGCCACCACTATTACCACCATCTCCTCTACCATTTCCTCTACCATTACCACCACCACCACCACCATCTCCTCTACCATTACCACCACTACCACCACTATTACCACCATCTCCTCTACCATTACCACCACCACCACCACCACGACTACCACCATTACCACCACTACCAGCATCAGAGAGCCGTATTAGGTCAAGAACGGTGCCCACAAAACTCTTCACTCACACCCTTTATGCTTCTACCTACAACCACTACCACTACTACTACTACTACTACTACTACTACTACTACTATCAACATCACGTTGGTGGTGGTGGTATCCCTTTGATTGTGTTTGTCTGTCTGTATTCTCTCTCTCTCTCTCTCTCTCTCTCTCTCTCTCTCTCTCTCAGGTTATGCACTTTAATTAAAATTGTAGCTGTAGTAGTTGTAAAAATTTGTACATATTTGTTTATATCCTCAGTAATTCACACACACACACACACACACACACACACACACACACACACACACACATACACCAATGACTCAGTGACAAGAAAATTAAGTGATTATCAGATAGAAAATGTCATATGACCTGCCAGGGTTCTATATTTGAGAAGAGTGCCTAACCTAACCTAACACGGGATTATGGGTAATATTACTCTTGTTACTACTCTATTTCTGTCTGTCTGTTTGTGGTCTCTCTCTCTCTCTCACTTTCTTTATCCCTCTCCTCATTTTCACTAATTCTCTCTCTCTCTCTTTCTCACTTTCTTTATCCCTCTCCTCATTTTCACTAATTCTCTCTCTCTCTCTCTCTCCGTATCCCTTCTCTCTACCCTCTCTTTCACACACACACACACACACACACCACACACACACACACACACACACACACACACACACACACACACACACACACACACGGAAATTTCATAAATCAGGATGAATCATAGTTCACAAATACCAAGACGAGAGAGTGCCTACCCTTTTGGACTATGGCACCATTCCTTACAAGGCCACAACCCACACTATATACGTGGGGGGAGAGAGAGAGAGAGAGAGAGAGAGGGGGGGGTAATAGATAAACATAAAAAGACAACGAGAGAGAAAAGAAGAGAGAGATAAAGTGAATGAGAGAGATAGAAAGAGATGGGCAGAGAGAGAAAGAAAGAAAGAGAGTAACAGAGAGAGAGAGAGAGAGCCAGGTGGTATCTCTCACCACTCACCTTCATCACTCTTGCCTCTACCTGTGACAGCTCATGACACTCATCATCGTCCTCATTACCAGTTCATGACAGTGTGTTACTCATCACCACTATCTATGACAGGACGGCATGACACTTATCACCACCGTGTATGACAGAACATGACACTTCTTTTTGTTATTGTCATCAACTGTACAATAAACCAGTCACTGTTATACCTTCTTGACAGTTCATGACAGTACACTATGTCACCACCACTATCACCACTACCACCACTACTACCACTACCACCAACCACCACCACCACTATCACCACCACCACCACCACTACCATCACCACTACCACCACCACCACTGTGTAATGATCGCCCGATTATTGTCACAGTTACAACACAAGCTGAAATAATTACTCTGCGACAGTCACACTACACGACCTAAAAACTGTTACTTATTGACAGTCACACAGTTAGAGACAAACTGAAAATATGACTGTAGGTGAGTGGCATACAGTAAGCCCAGTTATTGGTCGATATTGCCACTCTAAATCCTAGCCAGTTATAGGTGGAGCTTAACCCCATCCAGTACAGGTAAATCCTCTCCCAGGTACAATTAACTCACCCAGGTACAATTAACTCACCCCAGGTACAATTGATTCACCCAGGTCCAATAACTCACTCCAGGTACAATTAACTCACTCCAGGTACAATTGATTCATCCAGGTCAATTAACTCACTCCAGGTACAATTAATTACCCAGGTACAATTAACTCACTGTACAATTAACTCACTCAGGTACAATTAACTCACCCAGGTACAATTAACTCCTCCAGGTACAATGACTCACTCAGGTACAATTAACCACCCAGGTACAATTGATTCACCCAGGTACAATTAACTCCTCCAGGTACAATTAACTCACCCAGGCAATTAACTCACCCAGGTCCAATTAACTTACCCAGGTCCAATTAACTCACCCAGGTACAATTAACTCACTCCAGGTACAATTAACTCACTCCAGGTACAATTAACTCACTCCAGGTACAATTAACTCACTCTAGGTACAATTAAATCACTGCACAAGTAACTCACTCCAGGTATAGATAAATCACTTCAGGTACAGGTAATCCCTACCAGGTACAGGTCACACACCCCTCCAGGTACTGACAAATCACTTCAATTACAGATAAATCACTCCAGGTACAATTGAATAACTCCAGGTGTAAATAAATCACTCCAGGTCACACACCCCCTCCAAGTACAGGTCACACCCCCTCCAGGTACGGGTCACACCCCCTCCAGGTACAGGTCACACCCCCCTCCAGGTACAGGTCACACCCCTCCAGGTACAGGTCACACCCCCTCCCCGGCTCACAGCACCTGGAGGCAGACGACACTGGCAGAAGGTCCTCGTGGTCGGCACTCTGGTACCACACTGAGTCTTAGTTAGCCCTGCCAGCGGTCTTACCTCCTCCTCCTCCTCTTCTTCCTCCTCTGCCGCCCCTCCTCCTCCTCTCTTTCCTCCTCCTCCTGCCGCCCCTCCTCCTCCCTGCCTCCTCCTCCTGCCGCCACCTTATGCTAACCCCCAGATGCCGTCCCCGCATGCCACCCTCACAATCCACCTCTCATGCCACCCATCCTGCCGCCCCTCATGCCACCCATCCTACAGCCCCTCATACCACCCATCCCGCCCCACCCCACCCCTCATACTACCCTCCGCCCTTCACCTTATTCTCATTTCCTTCACTTCTTCACTCATCTCCTCACACCTAATAGACCCCAACTTAATAGACCCCAGGCCTAATAGACCCCAATTCAATAGACCAGTTCATAGACCCCAGGCCTAATAGACCCCAGTTCTAATAGGCCCGAGTTTATAGACCACAGTTCTAATAGACCCCAATCCTAATAGACCCTAATTGTAATAGACTCAGTCCTAATAGAACCAGTTCTAATGACCCAGTCCCAATAGACCCTAGTTGTAATAGACTCAGTTCTAATAGACCTCAGTCCCAATAGACCTAGTTCTAATAGACCCCAGTTCAATAAACCTCAGTCCTAATGGACCCTAGTTGTAATAGACCCCGTTCTAATAGACCCCAGTTCTAATAAACCTCAGTCCTAAAGACCCTAGTTGTAATAGACCCCAGTTCTAATAGACCCCAGTTCTAATAGACCTCAGTCCCAAAGACCCTAGTTGTACAGACCCCAGTTCTAATAGACTCCAGGTTCAAAGACCCCAGTTCTAAAGACCCCAGTTCTAATAGACCTCAGTCCCAATAGACCCTAGTTGTAATAGACCCCAGTTCTAATAGACCTCAGTCCCAATAGACCTAGTTGTAATAGACCCCAGTTCAATAGATCTCAGTCCCAATAGACCCTAGTTCTAATAGACCCCAGTTCTAATAAACCTCAGTCCTAATAGACCCTAGTTGTAATAGACCCCAGTTTTAATAGACCCCAGTTCTAATAAACCTCAGTCCTAATAGACCCTAGTTGTAATAGACCAAGTTCTAATAGACCCCAGTTCTAATAGACCTCAGTCCCAATAGACCCTAGTTGTAGACCCCAGTTCTAAGACCTCAGTCCAAGACCCTAGTTGTAGACCCCAGTTCTAATAGACCCCAATCCTAATAGACCCTAATTGTAATAGACTCAGTCCTAATAGACCCCAGTTCTAATAGACCTCAGTCCCAATAGACCCTAGTTGTAATAGACCCCAGTTGTAATAGACTCCAGTTTCAATAGACCCCAGTTCTAACCTCATAACTAATCTAGCCTGGGGCCTATTAGGACTTGGACTATTAAAGCTGGGGCCCAATTAACCAGCAGGTGTAGGTAGACGGTGGATGTAATTAGCGATGAATTATTAAACCTTTTATTTAATTAAGTAGTTAATGTGTGGAGTAATTAAGTAAGGTTGTGGGAGAGAGAGAGAGAGAGAGAGAGAGAGAGAGAGAGAGAGAGAGAGAGAGAGATAGCGAGAGAGACAGATAGGCAGATAGTGAGAGAGAGACAGAGAAAGTGAGAGAGAAAGATAGTGAGAGAGAGAGAGTGATAGTGAGAGAGAGAGAAAGACAGAGAGATAGTGAGAGAGAAAGAGAGATAGTGAGAGAGAGGGAGATAGTGATAGTGAGAGAGTGATAGTGAGAGAGAGAAAGAGAGATAGTGAGAGAGAAAGAGTGAGTGAGAGAGAGTGCCTGAGTTATAAAGGTAAATACATATAGGATTCACCCCATCTTATTATATAATGTTAAAAATATATATAAAAATTAATCACTTCGACCTTGCCAGGATTCGAACCTGGAATCTTCTGATCCGTAGTCAGACGCGTTATCCGTTGCGCCACAAGGCCATATGTTTACAATCTCTCTCTCTCTCTCTGTCTCTCCGTTGCGCCATAAAGCGTTATAGTTTCTGTATGTTTTGTGTGTATGTGTACAAGGGTCTAGAATATATAACGCTCACACACACACACACACACACACACAGAGTTAACGACAGTATAAAATGGTGTGTCAATGTAAGTCACTAGCTGTAATGGTTAACGAACATGACTCTAAAATGTTTACAATCTCTAAGACTCGTGTTAACTGCAGGTAGTAAAACACCTCATGTGCCTTACCTGTTGTACTGCACCTGTTCTACTACACCTGAGATGTACTGTATACCATGTGTTATGATCCCTTACCTCCCGTCCATCCACGAGGATTGGGGTCTACTAGGACTGGGGTCTACTATGACTGGGGTCTATTAGGACTGGGGTCTACTACTGGGGGTCTATTGTACGGGGTCCTTCTGGGACTGGGGTTTACTGGGACTGTCTACTAACGCTGGGGTCTACTAACACTGGGGTCTATTAGGACTGGGTGCCCCATCTGACTACTAAACGGGAGGAGTTAACACAGACAATATTTAATGACCTCTGTGATCTTTTAGTGGAGCTTCAACCTTGCCAAGTGATGGTGACTACAAGGTCGGTGTGTGTGTGTGTGTGTGTGTGTGTGTGTGTGTGTGTGTGTGTGTGTGTGTGTGTGTGTGTGAGCGACAAGAGGACAGAAAATTATATCAAAGTTGTTCAGTATTTTCTATATAAAGCCATTTTGACTAACTGACTGGCACACACACACACACACACACATATCATGGCTCTGTGATATAGTGGGCGTGTAAGTGAAGCAGGCATGTAGGCGTGTGTCGGATGGGCGGGTGTGGGCGTATGTGTGGGCGGGGGCGTGTCATGAAGGCATATATAGCCCATGAACTCAAGATGTCATAAACCACCGAGTTGGCAACACTACACACAGTGATGTCAGTTGGTGATTTTTTTTAAATATTTTTTTACACATTACACCTGGCGCTCTCAACTGCCCTCACCTGTTGATCCACTAATTGAATAACAAAAGTGTCAGGTAATGTAATTTTTATTTGACAGCTGTAATGGGATGGAGTCATTGTGTTTTTATTATTATTATTATTATTATTATTATTATTATTATTATTATTATTATTATTATTATTATTATTATTATTATTGTTATTATTTATCATTAATACTTTATATTCTAACACTCATTTCTCCCTTCAGACTACAGTGCCAGAGAGAGCCACCACCACCACCACCACTATCACCAGGTACCAAGACCAACTACAGTATACATAACGTAGCACTGTACTAATACGAACGATGTACAGTAACTCAAAAAACTATCTGTACTCTGGGTGATCGATCAGTTCCAGAATGAACACTGTGACTCCTGTTGTCTCGGTAGTGTTGTCAAAATCCTTCGTCCGTCGTGTCATATTTTTTCAACACAATTCAGTATAGATTTTTTGAGTGCCTGTACATGTATTTAGTGAAGTACATGTAATAACTAGTGAAGTACATGTAATACGTCTAAGTACTACTAACATTACTATCACCTGTTGAAGTACATTTTGTAGGTTTAGGTGGTACTATTATGTTTATATTAGGTTTAATGGCAGTATTTACACCACATTAAACTAAGGTATGTTCCTCGTTATATAACAAACAATTAAGGTTAGTAGGTAAGATTTTTTCTCCCTAAACTGTAGCTGTGTGTGTGTGTGTGTGTGTGTGTGTGTGTGTGTGTGTGTGTGTGTGTGTGTGTGTGTGTTAGTGTGTGTGTGTGCGT